AAAAAAAAAGAACATTTAACACATATTACTGTAAAGTGATAAAATTGTTCTCACTAAAGAAAAAAATTTCATTTGAATTTGAATGACTGCAGTAGGGTCATTCGTCAAAATTTATGTAAGGGAAGAAAGAAGAAAAATTCGAACTTGTTGTTAAAATCTTTCTTCTTCCATTGCTTACTTGAAAAAAAATGATAAAATGAGACTTTGAAAAAATCTGCTCTCCAACGGTGTCAAAAACTGCAATAAAATTTAACAACCACTTTTCAACCCTTTCAAAATTGATAATAAAACAATAGAAAAATTATAGCAGTCTTTTAGAAAAAAAAAGTGAGAATGATATTTTTTGAACAATATTTTAGAGTTGAGATATTAAAGAAGTTAAATTGAGAAGAAATAAGAACATATAAAGAAGATCAACCTCGCCCTTTGCGAGGTAAAAAACCTTCTATCCCCTTTTCTCTTATCCCTTGCCTGCGTCCTTTCCTCTTCCCTATTTTCTCTTCAAATCCCAACTCACTCTGGCAGACCTCTGCTCTACAGGAAAAGCCTGTAAAAAGTAGCTCTTATTTTCGTGAAAAAGTACGGATCTTATTGCTATTTTCAAAAACACCAAAAAAATGCTGACAAGATAGAAAATCTTTCGGTATAAGCAATTTTTTTATTATTACCTGACGCTCATATTTTTCGCTTCAGTTTTACCTAAACTGCAGAGCCTATTTATAATGTATTGATATCGATTCCCTTCAAAAGAAATGGGCAGTGTCTTATTTATGCTGCTCCAGCTTGCTCCTTCTTCACTTGTTCCTGTTTGTTCTTCCCACTGCAGATGTCAGTATTATATCAGCACTCCATTACTACAAATTTATCTACTAGAAAATTACTACCGACTAACTTCAACCACTTTCGTTTTTTGATAACGCCAATTATCGCTTTAAATTTTTAAACAAGGATCTATTCTACAGCATTTTTTCTTGCATTGCTTTTCATTGAGAATTTTAGCTATCTATTTAGATATTATATATTAAACAGTTTTAAAAAAACTCTTGCTTTTTCTCTCCCTACTTTCATTTTTGTACCAATTTCTCAGGCTCCATCTGAAAACCGTAATCGGTCCAAATTTTCTCAGCCGTCTTCTGTCTTGAAGACGGAGGAAGCAAGAAGTGGTGGAAAAGGAAACCAACTCGAAAAGATGTCACTAGCAATAAACTGTGACTCATTTTGCTGTGCTTGAAAAGTATCAAGAAAAAAAGAAAGAAATAAAATTAAGAGTGTACGAAATTTTCTAAACAATTAGTTATTCGCGGTTTCTAAGAAATGATCTTCGCATGCAGTAATCTATGAATTTTTGCTCAGTGGATTCATTGGAAAACTAATCGCTTTAGTTTTCTAAAGAGGTTTACATGGTAATCCTTGAAAAGGGATTTTTTGATGACAAACAAAAATAAATAAAGTTACAAACTTTTACAGCTTACATTTTAACTAAAAAATCAAAATTTCCCCACAGATTGATATAGCCGTAAAAATGTTGGCACCAAAGTGCTTCGCTGAAGAAAAAGTAAAGATCTAATTAAAATTACAAACCTGTAAACGAAAGGCGCAATTTGACAACTTCACCTCTATCGTAAAGCTCTGCGGCGGAGTAACGTTCAGGTTTTGTAATCACCGGAGGCGCGTGCAAAACTACAGCAAACTTATGTTCCGCAGTCCCCTCGGAATTACTGAGGAGAATCTAAAAGACTGTGAAATGTCGAGAAAAATTTAAGCCTTCTCTTGCAGTTTGATAAAGACTACCGTCAAAATTTACTTCAAAAGGTTTAGATTAGCCATAAAATCGTATTTTTGAGCAGAAAATTTATTTGACAACCAGCCTTAAAATCGCCTTCATCGCCTTCTCTAAACTCTACAATTGTCAGCGTTGACTTGTTCTCGGTTGTTTCAATCCACTGGTGTTTTCCAGAAAATATTTCTTTATCGTTTCTATACCAGTGAACTTCAGGTGCAGGTTTTCCGTCATATTCAGTTGTGATCTTCAACTTTTTATTTTCTACTCCAATTGTATCTTCAGGACAAAAAGAAAACATTGGTTTGATTGCTTCTGAAAAATTTTTTATTGACTGCGCTAGTAATATAACTTTCATTCCTGTCCAATTAAAAAAATTCTAAGAAAGCTAATGCTCACCTTTTTTCTCGATACACTTTATGGCATCTGACACTTCAGATGGAAGCCCTTGCCCATAGGCATTAACTGCATACACTCTGAAGACATATTCAACTCCAATTTTTAGCGATTTTGCAGTCACACTATTTTTACTTATGGGTTTTTGATTAACAAGTTGCCAACCAAGTTTTGACTTGCTTTCTTTTATTTCAACATTAAATGTAATATTTTCCTCTTTAAGAGGATTCCATTCTACGGTAATCGCATTATCCGTTACTTTTTTCATAACGGGTTTAGATGGCACAGCTTTTGGAGGTTCTGAAAATGAGTATTAATTTGAATAGAAGTGCGGGAACAAAGCGAAAAACTGCAATAATCTCGATTCTTCTCAGTGCCTGTAGAAAACTTTTGTTTTATAAAAAGAATAGAAAATATTTCCGAAAAGTTTCCTTTCCACGACAATAACTGTATTATTAATTCTAACCTCTCTTCTTATCTAATTTTACAGGTTCTTTTGTTTCCAAGTTTGCTCCACAGCCGAGCGCATTTTCAGCCGACACTCGGAAATGGTAGCTACTTCCTGTTGGTAAATCTGCGATTTCAGCAGTAGTTTGTGAGGTCCGCGTGACAAACGCCCATGACGACTTCTTGACGTCTCGTTTTTCAATACAATATCCCAAAAGCTTACTGTTGCCGTCGCTTGTTGGAGGATTCCAAGATAGAGTACAAGATGTATCTGTTACGCCTGTCACTTTTAACGGTCCATTAGGTTTTGAGGGAACTCCTTAAAAAGTGAAAGAACTTTAGAGTTTCAGCTGTCACACGTATTTCAGCATATTTCAAACCGACACAAGTAAAGAAAATAAGTCAGTAGCCACATCTGAGGATGACAATGAATCTCATTAAACTGACTATAACAAATGAAATGACAAATTATTAAATTATTGCCACGTTTTTTAAAAGTAATTATTCTGTTTCTGATAATCTTACCCTCACAATAAGTAATTTTTTTCGGATCTACTTTAACTAGATTGTTAATTTAAACCCACCTTTTATTTTGACCGTGATGTCACATTCACACTTTCCAGCGGTGTTTTCTGCACGAAGTGTGTATATACCGGAACTGTCGACATCCGATTTTTTAATTACCAATGAAACGGTTTCATCTTTTTTACTCATTACAATGTTCTTGTTAGCTTCCAGTTTTACCCCATCTTTTTCCCAAAAAATTTTGGGTTCAGGATTACCTCTTAATGATGCGTACACCTTGACAGGTTCGCCAAGTTTTGCTTCGATAATTTTTTCTTCAAACTCAATAGCTGGTTTCTCTATAAACCAGTAAGTTATATAAATGCTTCTAACATCTACAGTAATATCTCAATTAGTCACTGCTAAATAAAAATTAAGAGTGAGAAACACTAAAAAATAATTTTTAAAGAGCTGTTGCATGAAACATAAAATAAGTAATTAGTTTCATACAGATGCCACTTAAATAGACCTGAAATTTATAGGTGTAAAGCTTACCGAAAACAGTGACATCAAATTCTACAATCGATTTAGATTGTTTGTTCAAAGCGGTACATATGTACTTCCCCTGACTTTCTTCAGATACTTCTTTTATCTTCAAAATTGATGAATCTGGCGTGGTTACAACAGAGCTGCTATCTACAGGAATTCCATCTTTGATCCAGAAACAATGATCAAATATTCCTTCGATATCAACTTTCAATTCTTCCTTCTTGCCGCACTCCAGTAGTGGTGTTGTATCTTTTGCAGTTATTCTCAACTTTGATAGCGTTTTGTCTTCTAAATCTTCAGGCTTCTCCAACGTCTTTTTTTTACTACTTTTTTGCCTTATATTTTTCGCTGTCCTCTTTAGTGAAATTTTTTCTTCGAAATAAATTTCTTCTTCTGTTGAGCTAGTTACAGAACTGATTTCTAGAGAAGTTGTAACGCTTTCTTCCCGGTTTTCTGTTTTGCTGAAATTTTGTGGCGCTTCTTCCAAGACACTTTCTGCTCCCTCTTTATTGACCACCTCATTAGCAGGTAAACAAACTGTAACTGCAACTGAAGGCTCACTAGGAATTGAGGTTGTTCCTTCACGTACAGCTATGATACGATACACAAAATCAACGTCACCGACCACATCTGTGTCAATATAAGTAGAATCGCTAGTTCTATCGACTACTATCCACTCTGACAAAGAAGAATCTTTAGGAACGTTTTTCTTTTCAATAATGTAATCGGTAGCATTTTCTACAAATTCCCAGGATATTCTGACTTTACATCCTCTTTCCGGAATTACTGTCGGCACATTCGGTTGTTCAAGTGAAATTTGAGGCACTTCTTCAGAAACTACTGGTTCGCTTTTAGTAGTTACCTCGACTGAATTGCATGGAGGGCTTTGTCCAACTTTATTAAATGCTATAACTCTAAAAGCATAAGTCTGTTCCGGAACTAACCCCTCAATCACTATTGTATTTTCGTGTTCCTGAACAGTTCTTATAGCCCTCCATCGATGACTGTCTGGAGCTTTTCTCTCAATTACATAATG